CAGGAGCAGAGGAGCCCTGAGGTGGGGTAGGGAGGTGCTGTGGGTGCAGCAGGACACCATGGTGCGGGGCTGTGGGGTGGCACAGGGAGTCAGTCCTCCTTCAGTGATGTCCCTGAGGCCCTGCCCCTGCCCGGGGTCTCCTCCCCTGGCCCTGAGGCACACGTTGCTCTGAGCTGTGGACACTCCCCGTGGCCCAGAGCAGCCCCAGGTCTGCAGCCCTATTCTGAGGAGGAGCCTCACCTAGAGCAGGTGGCAGCACCCTGACCCCAGGCTCCGCCTGCTGCCTCCACCTGGGTCACCTCAGACCCCGGGACTCACCCCACACAGGAACTGGACACTCCCTGAGTGAGACAATGGCAAGGCTGTCAGCCTGCGTGGACCCTGAGCGAGCCACAGCACGGCTCTGAGCCTCAGCTTCCTCGTCCAGGCTGGCCTCCCCTCAGCCCTCTCCCAGGGTTGTGGTGAGGACACGAGGGACCCTAACAGGGATGCGCTCCCACACCGTGGGCTGGGTGTTCCCTCTGGGCCTGCAGATGGTGGAGCTGGGCCCCGGGCTGGAGAGCACTGAATGGCACAGTGGACAGTTCTGCCTGGTCAAGCACTCTGGGCCAATGGTCATGGCAGGGAAGTCACTACTGCTGTAGTTCTCTCTCTTTAGGTTTGTTTTGGTTAATTTTTTTTTTTTTTTTTTTTGGTATTGGGAATCGAACCAGGAGCATTTTACCGCTGAGCAACACCCCTAGCCCCACCCCTTTTGTATTTTAGATTTTGAGACAGGGTCTCACTGAGTTGCTTAGGGCCTCACTGAATGGCTGAGGCTGGCCTCAACCTCCAGAGTTCCTGGGATGACAGGGCTGTGCCACCACGCCTGGCTGTACATCTCTCTTTACTTCTCTCTCTCAGATGTTTGGGGGCTTTTACCACAAACCTCAGAGGTTCCAGACTCCCTCCAGAAGAACAGGGCCACTCCCTAGTGTTAAACAATGTTGTTTTCAGGTTTGATTTTCTTAGTCTACGAGAGCACTAAGATTTTTTGTATTTAAAGGGAACTTTTAGACTCCATTAGCACTTCAAATGCTTATTCTCTCTACTCAGCATCTCCATGTCTAGAAATTGATTCTAATGGGTACAAACAGGTAAAGGTGAAAATATAAACATATTTTCAGACCATGGTAATTACATCATAATTCGTAACTCTAAGAATTTGAAAACAATGCAAATGTCCATCAGTAGGGGACCAGGTAGCTAATCTATGGCTAAATGGGTGCAATTCTCAAAATGGATAAATGAGAATCTGTACATGCCACTGTCCTGTGAGTGTGTCCATAATGTACTGTTAAGTAGAAAACAAAGTCGCAGAATAGTAGTGGCAGATTTAAAAACAACTGTAATTCAGTTACATGGAAATACAAATATTAATATGCATATGAGTAGGGGAAAACTAGAAAAATAAAACTGAACTATTAGCAGTTTAAACAGAATTTCCATAAGAGAAATTCTTACACACAGAGTCACTGACTAAATAAAGAACCCATTTACAATGTTACCACAGTCTAAAATACAAAAACACACACAGGAAAGTGTTCTCTTTCTGTGTTACCTACTCTGCTAATGGGTTTGGGGCGTGTGTTTTTTGACACTTATATAAATTCATTATTGTAAAACTGGAGAATGGACTCAGTCACAGAGGACTTGGAGAGACAAGGTCCTAATTCAGAGAAGGAACATTAATGGGGCTGAAGGCCCATCCTGGGCTGCAGCTCAGGGCCCAGCAGAACAAACTCTTTCAGTCTTTCCCTCTTTTTCCAGGAAGAAGGACCCAGGCGGACAGTGGGTGGTGGAAGCAATGTGTAGTCCGAGTGGCTCATCTGTCTGGGAGGAAAATTCCAGCTCGCCCATCTCCCCTGGGCAGGACCAGGCAGGGGCTGACCCAGGTCACCTCAGCTCCCTGCACCTGCTCTGCACAGGGCCCCGAGGTCCAAGCCCTCTCCCAAACTATGTTTTCTTATTTTCACCCAGCCCTCAATTCACCTGGCTCTTCCCTCTCAAGAGCCTTTCCTGACCTTTCTTTTAGGGACATGTGGCACCAGAGAGGTCATGTGGTGGGAAACAGGGTTTGGAGGCCAGGCTCCCTGTATCCCTGGCTCTGCCCCCTTGGGTGGGCACCTTAGCTCCCTGAGATTCAATCTACAAGGCAACCAGGCCCAGGCTCCCTCCCTTCCCAGACACCTGTCCAAATGATCCCGGGCAAGTCGTTTTGCAATCTCCTCTCTCATCTGTACCTGTACTAGGTTCCTGGGACTGATGAGGGGGAAATAAGAAAAATGAATGAAGCACAGACAGCCCCCGAGCACCACCTAGTGGCTGATGTCAGCCAGACTTTCATCCTGCCTCCTCTCTGTGGCCTTGTTTTTTTCCATTAGCCACAAGGGACCTGGGCTCTGATGTGGTGTGACCCACCCAAGGTCCCAGGAGGAGCAGGCTGAGATGGGGCCTGGAGTCTCCTGACCTGCAAACAGGCTTTCCCATGAGCAGAGACAATCCCTTCTGGAATGTGGGTTGTTTATCCTCTTTCCAAGCAGATCCAAGTTTTGCCTTAATCAACTACTGCCACAGCCAGGAGAGAAGAGGTCGTGAGTTCTGGGTGCGCTGTAGAGCAGGACCCCAGGGGTGGGGGCTTGGTATGTCCAGGCCCTCACTGGTGGGGTTTCCCTGATATAACTCAGCTGCCATTAGGTTGGCTACAGGGCCGTGAGTCAGAGCTGGCCACACCCTGCCCTCTGCCCACTTGCCACAGCCACAGACTATTGGAGACAGTCCAGGGAGACCTGCAGCTCCAAAACAAGGCACCCTTCCCCCAGGTCCAAGCAGAAATGCCCATCCTCTGCTCCGAGAGAGGGGACGATGGCCTGAGGACACATAACAAGCAAATGATCGGCCTCAGGCCAAAACCTAGATCTACCTCAAGGGATCCTCCAAACAGCCCAAGTGGAGGGCAAGGGAACTCTGACCTCGTCTGGCACCCCTGCATTTGCCCCCTGCCCCGGTATTGTCCCTGGTACTGAGCAGCCAGTGACTAACAAGCCTGTGTTCTGCAGGGGAGCTGATGGCCAGTGCTGGGGTGGCCAGAGGGAACAGGACGCCCCCCTCATGCCAGCCCCACAGCCACTGAGGTACTGCAGCAGTGAGGCTCTGCAGCCTGTGGTCTGTGCCCCACTGTCCCGCCTGGCTAGACTCTGCCTCAGAGCCACAGCGTGGTGCCCATGCCGTCCCCTGGCCTCTCCCTAGCCACACTCTCCTTCCTTCCTCTCTCATCTTCCTCTTGTCTTTCCCTTACCTTCTTCCTATTCCTGTCTGGGGCCCTTGCATGCTCTGTCTGCCCTACTCCTGCCTGGGTCCCAACCATGACTCACCCAGACCTGGAATCCGGGCTCTCACCAGCCACTGCACGCAGCCTCATCTGGCCACAGGCAGAGTGGAGGGGGAACTAACCCAGCTTAGTAGCCAAAGGCAAAGCCCATGGTGGGGGAAGAGAAGAGAAGGAAGCTCTGGAGCCTCTGAGCAGGCCTGCAGGCTCCAGGCTGTCCTGCCAGGCCCTTCTCAGGCACAACAGAGGAAGAGAAGCCTCCTCACCACCTCACATCTGGGAAACCAATTCCAAAGTCAAGGTCACCCAGCCACTAGCAAGGGGTGGGAGAAATAAAAATTGCAGGAAGCCATCCGTGAAATACACGAGGACCTTCTCTCGGAATGGTAGCCAGGGAGGGATAGGCCTGCATTGGAAACTTTCCGTGGCTCTCCCAGGGCAATGGATTGCCCAATGCATGTGACCTTTCCCTCCTCTCTGCTAGAAGCTTCCTCATAGTAGCTCCAGAGATGGGCGTAACCCGTTTGGAACTGAACAGCCCAACTTTAACCTTTTTTTTGGAGAAGAACATTCTATGGAAGGCCTTTGATATCTCCCGATATAAATAAAGTAGGCGTGGGCGCCATTTTGCCAGAAATTTGATCCGTCTCATCAGCTGGCCCATCTTGTCCCCGCTTTGAAGCTACTTTCTGTGTTCTGTGAATTTTTTTTCACTGTTTTATTTCACTTAACTTCTATTTCTCAGCCAACCATTCCACTGAGGAGGACCCCATTTCCACTGCCCATGTGGGATGTGGTGGGAGAAAATCCCTTTTCCAGAAGAGGGAAATGAGATCAGAGCTGAAGGGATCTGTTCAGGGATGAGCTCTGACTGCCCCTCGCTCCATATTCCCCATCCTTGGGGGAGACTCTGGGGTCCTCGGTTGGGAGATGCCAATCAGCATGGGGACTGTGCCCAAGAAGGAGAGCTTCCCTCACCCCCTGGCCAGCCCTCCGCTTCCTGGGTGTCTTGGCCATATCCCTCAGTGACCTGGCACCACCAATGTCCACTGGTTTGAGGCAGTGAGGTGTCACTAATAGACCTGGGCAGTGACAAAACCATACTCCACCAGGTACTGCCTCCAGGATGGGGCAGCCGGCAGTTAAGGAGGCAACCCCCAAAGTGCCCACCTCTTACGCCCCTTTCCTGGGGTGCACATCCTGAGGCTCTTGTCCTTCATGGGATACAATCGTCCTTACTGTCCATTCTCTCTGTGGAACATACCTTGGGGGCAGTGTTGGGCTGCATGAGGTAATGACCTCCCTCCCTGCCACCTTGCCCAGGATATTTCCAGAGTTCATCGTGGGTGCTCAAGGGGGGGTCTCGTGGTCCTCCCATGTCCCTGGAGCAGCTGCTGGGGGCTTTCCTGAGCACTGACTGTCACTCCAAGTCAAGGTCCACACAGCTGCATTTGAGGCAGAGAAAGGGTCATGTTCCTGAATGCCCGGGTGTCTTGTGTCATCTGGAATCTCCCCAGAACTCAGCAGACCCCCAGGAAGGTGATTTAGGGTACTTGACCTTGCTTCATCTGGACAAGCATGTAAAACCCAGGAATATTCTGGAATATTAGTATTGACAGAGCATTCAGAGTGAATGAGTCCAACTTATTTATTCTTCAAAGGGGAAAACGGGCCCAGAGAGGGCAAGGGATTCCTCCAAGGTCACAGCAAGTCCAATGCAGAGTCAGGGCCACCTACTGGTGCTCACATGTGGACATAATGCTGGCACATCAACACATTTGTCACAGATGCAGGATCCGCTGGGCCTGTAACTTGAGGATGAAGAGGAAAAGCCTCAGAACCAAAGGGGCCTGGAAGACATGGGTCCTGTCCACAGCCAGTGTGCCCCGAGTGTCCTGGGCTTGTTGAGAGCCATCCATGGACTATATATGAACGAAATCAGCAAGGAAGTCCACTGAATAGGAGAATCCGGTATTGGGGAGTTTCAGTGGCAACCCTGCTGGTAAGATCTTCCAGACACATATGAATCCTATTCAGCTCTGCCTGGTCCCACACAGCCTGGAGAAGGGGTGACCTGGTTGCCACACAGCCTCTCAGAGATGGAGAGGCCAAGATGCCAATCAACCTGTGACTGCAAGACATCATGAAGCAAGACTCTACCCCTGAAACCCTGTCCATGCCTTTAATGTACCCCCTTAAATAAACCATTAGAGGAATTTTCTAATTGTTCTGTTCCAGCTCCAACCAGGACTGGAAGATCCTATTAAGCTCTTAAAAACTATTCTTTGACACTGCCTCTTAATTAATTAATTTATTTTTTAATCTTTTATCAATTTTTTAAAATACACAACAGCAGTGGAATGCATTACAATTCTTATTACACATACAGAGTATATTTTTTCATATCTCTGTATATAAAGCATGTTCACGTCAATACATGCCGTTATACATATACCGTGTGTTTTTTTGCATGACAATTCTTAATATACATATATACCACAATTTTTCATATCCATATCTCTGTTGGAATGTAAAGTAAGTTGACACCCAATTCAAGTCTTCATACATGTACTTGGTATAATGATGTCCATCACATTCTACCATCCTTGCTATTCTCCTGCCCCCTCCCTTTCCCTCCCACCCTTTTTCCCTATCTAGAATTCATCTAATCCTCCCATGCTCTCCCTCTCTACCCCACTATGAGTCAGCCTCCTTATATCAGAGAAAACATTTGGCATTTGTTTTTGGGGGGATTGGCTAGCTTATCTTAGCATTATCTTCTCCAATGCCATTCATTTACCATGATTTTGTTCTTTTTTAATGCTGAGTAATATTTCATTGTGTATATATGCCACATTTTTTTATCCATTCATCCACTGAAGGACATCTAAATTGCCTCCACAGTTTAGCTATTGTGAATTGTGCTGCTATAAACATTGATGTGGCTGTGTCCCTGTAGTATGCTGTTTTTAAGTCCTTTGGGTGTAGTCCAAGGAGAGAAATGGAATCAAACTAAAAAGTTTCTTCTCAGCAAAAGAAACAATCTGTGGGGTGAACAGAGAGCCTACATCCTGGGAGCAAATTTTTATCCCTCACACATCAGATAGAGCACTAATCTCTAGGGTATATAAAGAACTCAAAAAGCTAAACACCAAAAATACAAATAACCTAATCATCAAATGGGTCAAGGACCTGAACAGACACCTCTCAGAAGAGGATATACAATCAATCAACAAATATATGAAAAAATGTTCATCATCTCTAGCAATTAGAGAAATACAAATCAAAACTACTCTAAGATTTCATCTCACTCCAGTCAGAATGGCAGCTATTATGAAGACAAACATCAATAAGTGTTGGAGAGGATGTGGGGGGAAAGGTACACTCACTCATTGCTGGTGGGACTGCAAATTGGTGCAGCCAATTTGGAAAGCAGTATGGAGATTCCTTGGAAATCTGGGAATGGAACCACCATTTGACCCAGCTATCCCTTTCCTCAGACTATACCAAAGGACACTTCCTCTAATTTCTTCACTAACTATTTTAGACTCTATTTTCTCAGGTAGCTTATCCCCTCATGAGCAAGAAAATTACCATGGTGAGGTGCTGGCCACCTCGTGATACGGGCTGGGTCTGCAGGCCGGGAAGTACTGTACTTGGTTCAGTCCCAGCAATAATTACAGCACTAATTAAGCATGGCTGGCCCAGACCTGCTCAGTCCTGGGAAAGCAGAGACTAGTGTCAGGGGAGGTGGCTTCAGAGCGAAGCAACACTGGCCAGAGCAAGCCCAGCTCAGCCAGGAGCCAGGGGTGCCAGGGTTTCTTCCCCAGCTCCTGGGCAGATGGAAGTGTGGGGACAAGCCTGCGACTCCTTGAGGGGTAGCTGGCTGAACAGAGAGAGGTTACTGACCCCCTCACTCCCCCAGGAAACTCCCCCAGATTCCAGCCTTGTCAGCCAGGGAGACTCCCAGGTGGACTGTGAACTACCAAGTTCAATGTCTCATCTTGTGCACTGGGAAACTGGGTCCCCTGGGAAGGACCTTGGCTCAGTCACATGGCCTCCCTGAGGCAGAGGCTGGGCATGGTCCTGCAGTTCTCTGGCCTCCTGAGCCAGCCCCAGGGCTTGGGGAGCAGTGTGGCAGGGACAGAAGCCTTCCACATGGGACAGCTGGCAGGAGCAGCACGGCTCACAGGATGCCAGGCCCGGGGGCTGTGGCCTGGTGGCAGAAGGGGAGCTTCTGGTGGCACAGAGTGGGGGCCAGCCCCTACAGAAAGCTGTCCTCTGCTTCGGCCCGAGGCCCAGGGCAGCCTGCATCATTGGTGGCTCCAGCTCCATCTGGGAGTCCCCCTGGGGCTGGGGCAGGGGTTCTGGCTCTGGTTCTTCCTGGGGGTCGAGAGGACTGTCACAGGAGATGGTAGAGGAGGTGTTGGCTTCATTCAGGGTGGAGCTGGAGGAAGAAGGCAAGTGGGTGAGGGCTGGGCCACAGCAGGACGGTAACGGCACTAAGGGACTCCTTGAACCCAGCTTTGCACACTTCTGCTCGTTGAATCCTTTAAAGACCCCATAAGGCCTGAGCCAGGAGACAAGCGCAGCTCAGAGAGGTCATGTCATTGCCCTACCTCACACCGTGGGCGTGTGCAGGGGTTAGGCCCCCAGGAGGCCCCATTTGCCTCTGAGCAGCCTACAGCAGAGTCTGAGGGCTTGGGTTTGGAAGCCATGTGGCCTGGGGTTGTTCACACCTCTGAAGGAGCCCAGGAGTGGGCAGAGGTCGTAGCTCCTCCTCCCCCTGTCACCAGTCAGTGTCCCTTCTTGGAGCTGCTGGAATAGACTCAGCTCCGCCCACCCCGTCCTGGGATCAGCAGAGAAACTGAGGCCCAGAGCAGAGGAAGGCTGTTCCCCAAATTCCAGCACAGCACTCTGAGCCCGGGACCCAGGGTCAGAACTGATGGAGCGCTGTGCCCTACCCCCACCCGGCTCCACATACCTTTCTGTAGCCCTCGCCAAGCAGCCTCTCGAGGAGCAGCACCAGCTGGAAGAAGGGAGGCTGAACCTCAAACTTCTCCTCCCAGCACTTCTGCATGATCTCGTAGCTGGGGAGGGGCAGAGAGGGTCAGGCCCCCTGGCTCTGGTGGGGGCGGGCGGTGCTGGGAGCTGGAGCCACCGCCTCTCAGAATAAGAGGAGCAGGGACCAGGGTGTCGGGAGACGTGGCAGCCAGCACCACCCACCACTGGCTCTGTGGGGTGGCCACCCGTGGGGAGCACGTGGCCCAGGTGCAGCCCAGAGGGGCTTCATCCTCTCTGGTCAGAGGTGGGTTCTGATGGCATACGACCCCAGCTGAGCCACAGAGGTCAGCTCTGGGGCTTTGGCAGTGCAAGTCATCGGCTGGCACTGTGGCAGCCATGTGGGCAGTGCCAGCCTGAGAGTGAGGCTGGCCCAGAGACAAGCAGAGCCCAGGGCAGAAGGGATTCCTGAGCACACGAACACCCAGAGCCAGGTGTAGCTAGACTTTTCTGGATCTCTGAGCTGAGAACTCTCTTTGGCTGAAGCTGGTAGAGCTACATGTCCACTGTCTCATCCAGGAAATCCCCCCCAGGGCACGAGGCTCCACTCACATCTCAGCAGAGGCGTGAGCAGGCTGCGCCATGCGGTAACCGCGCTTGATGGCATTGTAGAACTGCTCGTTCATGGGCAGCTCCGGGTAAGGGGTGCCACCTGTGGAGGAGCAGACAGGGATACACAGGTGTGACAAGGAGCAGGGTGCCCCCTTCCACTACAGAGGGACAGGCAAGATGGTCCTGGTGGAGAAGGGTGGAGTGTCTTTGGCATTGGGAAATGGAGGTCCTTCCTGGGCTCCCAGGAGACACAGCACTCCTCAGGACAGAGAACCTGGGAACACCAGAGCCAAGCAGGCTCCCGTTGATCCTCGGGTAGAGGGGTAAAGAGGTCCAGAGAGGGCAAGGGTCTTGCCAGAGCAGCACAGTGGGAGAAAGGAGCAGAGTACTCACCACAGGTCCCCTGGCCCATGTCCTAGCACTCTGCCCACAGCCCCAGCAGATGGGAGGTGGGAGGGGAATGTCATGTGAAGATCTCCCAGAGCAGGATCCCAAAGGACCACACATCGCTCAGGGTGGTGTAGAGGCTGTTGAAGATGCTCTCCGGGGCCATCCACTTCAGAGGCAGGAAGGTCTGTGGGGGCAGGAGCAGCGCTGAGTGCCCAGAGGGGCCAGTGGCCAGTTCCCAGCCCACTCTGCACCTGGGTGGGAGGAGGAGGTCCAGCAGCTCCACTGCCAGCTGCTTCCCCCTCCTCCTCCAGGGTCTGCACAGCTCCCATGCCCACCCTATTCCTGGCCACAGCAGCAGGGAGTCTTCTCTCCTCATTAGCTAAGGACACATGGCCCCTGTCCCTGGGGGAAAGCCCTGGGTCTAAGAAGGGGTGAGGGAGCCAGGGATACGCCCAGCTACCTCCCAGTTCTCATCCTGGATGATTTGGTCCCTGGGCTCTAGAGCCCCTCCACTTCTGGGGCTCGCAGGAAGCAGGGAGATGGTGGCAGGCAGGATGGTTCCATTTCATCCAAGCCAATCCCACTACTACCTGAGACCAGCATATTTGTTTTACCTTGTCACTTGGGCTTCTTCCTCTGCCCATCACTCCTGGGTCAACAGATATGATCTGCACACCCCCTTCTTGTCCATCCCTGGCCACTGCAGCTGGTCCCTCAGCCCCAGCTGTGCCGAGTGGACCTGGCATTGTTTGCCTTTTCCTATTCCGACTTCACTAGTGGCTACCTGTCCTGCTCCCGTGCACAGAGCTGGGCCTTCACTGGGATCTCATTGATCAAAGTGGCCTGATAGGTCCTCAGAGGAGCTGGGGGAGAGCAGAGAGTCACAGGTCACCTCATGTACCCAGTGGCCCAGAGGACCCTGTCTTTTTTCTTGTGGGGCTGAATGTCCACGGCAGGTGGCTCCTGATCTTCTAGGTCTCGCCTGAAGGGATGGTGCTTCGTGTCTAGCCTAAACCTCTCCTTCTTTTTCAGACATTGGTGGGCCAACGTCTAGCTACACCTGGTTCTGGGTGTTCATTTGCCATTGGGAATCCCTTCTACCCACTTATTTATATGCGGTGCTGAGAATCGAACCCAGTGCCTCACACATGCTAGTGCTCTACCACTGAGCCACAATCCCAGCTCCAAACCTCTCATTCTTTACCAGTGTCTTCAACAGCCAGAAAAAAAAGTTTAGGCTGGGTATGGTGGCTCATGCCTATAATTCCATCTTTTGGCAGGCTAAGGCAAGAGGATCACAAGTTCAAAGCCAGTCTCAGCAACTGAGCAAGACTCTCAGCAACTCTATAAGACCCTGTCTCAAAAACAAACAAACACAAAAACACAAAAGACCCCCCAAACTGGGATTGGAACTGAGTGGCAGAGAGCCCCTGGGTTCAATCCCTAGTACTAACAACAACAACAAAAAGTTTAGCCCTGCCTGCATGTTTCTTCAGAACACTAGCCTAGTCTGGGGCCAGTTCAGAGCTGATCACTTTTCCTCAAGTTTCCAGGAGGCCAGATATGCCCCCAACCCCACCCTAGTTCTTCCCTTCCCTGAGAGCCTACTCATGCCTCTGACCTATGAACAGAACAGGGGTTCTTATGGAGGCCCCACTATATAGCAGCTTTGGGCAAGTGGCCAGCCTCAGTTTCCACTTCCATGAAATGGGTGCAAAGCCATCATCCTTCAGGATTGCTGCAAGGCTGGGAGTGTGAAGGGCTTTGAAAAGAATGTGTCTCCGCCTGGGTGTGAGCCTGGGCAGATCTGAGCACACTGTGTCCACCCATTGGAGCGAACGTAGTTATCATAAGGGGCCATGTAGTTGGAGGATTCGATGTCTGCGTATTTGACGTCTCCTTTCATGTCCAGCATGGGCACGTAGTCCACTGACTCATCCTTGCTCATGTCCATGTAGCCACCATCGCTCTCCCCAGTCAGGGACATGTGGCTGGGGAGTAAGAGGAACACAACAGGAAGGTCACTGGCTTCCTCTTTCCTTCCCCCTCGTACCCTGTGGTCACCCTGGGGACCCCTGAGGCCCTGTCGCTCACGGATTTCTTCTTTCACTCATGCACTCCTGACCCTTCAGTGTGTTACAACACAAGTGACCACAGATCCAGTCCCTTGACTAACCTCTGTGACCCTGAGCTTGGTATATACCAGCACACCTGCACACCAGCACAGGTGCCTGGCCATGACCCAGGGTGGGCAGTAGGGCATCGCCTTGATACCTCTGACTTCGACCTCACTCCCCAGGGGGCTGTGGGCTGTCCACAGGTGTCTGTATGGGCAGCCTAAAGACAGCTAGGAAATAGGTCAATGCTGGCGAGGAGGGCCAATGTCTCAGACACTGATCTAAGTTACCCTTGTCCTTGTCTTTGTAATCAGCAAAAGAACTGAGAACTGCTCTTTTCAGAAACATTGAAACCAAGAGTTGAGCTGCCGAGGGGCACCGGGGTGTGTGTAGAGGGAATGGGGAGACGGTGGAGGGAGCAGGGCCCACAGTGCACCTCGGGAGGCCCAGCTCTCAGCCCACGATTGCCTCTGCCCACAGTGTCCCTAAGGCAGGAGACCACGACACCCTGGACACAGGGCTGTGGGGTCAGGGGTCTCAAGCACAGGGCTCGAGCACAGGGCCTGGCACACTGGGGCAGGTAGCAGGAGGCAGCAGAGCCCAGCACTATCCCCATCACTACTGGCCTTTCCTGGTCTATGGTCTATGGTCCTGACTTGAGAAAGAGTCACCAGGAGTGACTCTGCCCCCTCCCCAGGGCCCCAGCTGCCCCCTGCAGGAGCAAGGGCAAGGGGGCTGTGCAGGCGCCTGCCTCCTCCTACCTGGGCAGAGGGAGCCCCGTGGGCAGGGCGTTGCTGTAGAGCTCAGCACTGGGTGGGCGGTGCTTGTCCGAGTGGTGCTGCAGGAAGCTGTGCTTGTTGCGGTGCAGGTAGTCCACCAGGTCGCCATAGCGGCAGTACTCGGTGATGATGTAGATGGGGCCTGCAGGGGAGGGCGGTGGGCACAGGCCCCAGGGGCCCTCAGGCTTCCCGTGAGGGCCACGGGGCCAATAAACAGGCTGAATGTGGGAGAGGTCGTGGGCATGACAGCTGAGGGTAGGTGCCTGGCACACCTGGGTCCTCTTCCTGCCTCCGACTGCAGGCAATAGATACTTAACCTCCCTGGGCCTCCCCTCCCCCATCTGTGAACTAACACCCCCCTCAAAGGACTGTCACAAGAACTAATGAGACCAAACATGGCACATGACAAGGGCACAACTGCTGTTTTCACACTTAAGGTTATTTTGGTACCTGGTATATGTAAAGAGGGAGAGGAAAGTGCTCTCCATTATCAGTTTACTGGTTATGTTCAAATTTAATGCTTTTACTCAAAGTCAACAAGTAGACAGTGAAGATATTGATAAAAACAAAACTTTTGAAATGAGTGCCAGGCACAGGAGCACCCCTGTAATCCCAGCTACTCTAGAGGCTGAAGAAGGAGGATCAAGGCCCATCTCGGCAACTTGGTGAGATCCTCAGCAACTTAGCAAAAGTCTCAAAATAAAAAAAATAAAATAAAAAGGGCTGCAGAGGAAACTCAGTGGCAAAGTGCCCCTGGGTTCAATTCCCAGTACCAAAAAGAAAGAAAAAAAAAAACCACAACTTTTTAAATGAGCGATCATTGCAGATGTGAATTCATCTATGTATGCAACATACTTCTGTATTTTGAATGATTACACAATCCTGAGGAAAATCCCAAATCTCACAAAGCAGCTAAAAATGGCAATAATGTTATTTTTTTCTTTTGTTGTAGGTCAACTTGCAATCAGAGCTTCAAATACACATAGTAAGGCCAATAGACTTTTTTCTGTGATCAGAAAGAAAGCAACTCCCAATTAGCTCACTAGTGGTCTCCAATGAGGGGAATGGGGTAACGTGATTCTTCTGAGTGTCCCATGAGCTATTATTTATCACAGTTTTCAAAAGGTATTGTGAATAGTTAAACTGTGGAAGCAACCTAGATCATTAGATGAAAAAAATATGGAGTGGGCTGGGGTTGTGGCTCAAGCGGTAGCGCGCTCGCCTGGCATGCGTGCAGCCCGGGTTCAATCCTCAGCACCATATACAAACAAAGATGTTGCGTCCACCAAAAACTAAAAAATAAATATTAAAATTCTCTCTCTCTCTCTCTCTCTCTCTCTCTCTCTCTCTCTCTCCCTCCCTCCCTCCCCCCCCTCTCTCTCTAAAAAAAATATGGTGCATATATACAATGGAATATTACTCAGCAATAAAAGAGAATAAAATCATGGCATTTGCAGGTAAATGGATGGAGTTAAAGAAGATAATGCTAAGTGAAGTTAGCCAATCCCAAAAAACACAAATGCCAGGTGTTTTCCTGATTTAAGGAGGCTGATTCATAGTAGGGTAGAGAACAGGAGCATGGGAAGAATAAATGAACTCTAGATAGGGCAGAGGGGTGGAGGGAAAGGGAGGGGGCATGGGTTAGAAATGATGGTGGAATGCAATGGACATCATTATCCAAAGTACATGTATGAAGACATGAATTGGTATGAATATACTTTGTATACAGAGATATGAAAAATTGTGCTCTGTATGTGTAATAAGAATTGTAATGTATTCTGCTGTCATATATGAAATTTTAAAATTAATTTAAAAAGAAAAAAAGGTATTGTGAAAATAGAAAAATGTCCAAGGTCACTTTGATTTGGAAACTCCCAGAATTGGAAGCCTGAGAAGTCCTCTGGCCATGAAGATGTGACTCTGTAGGCTCCCAAATCCCACACCCATCTAGGACTATGAAGGGACTGTGAAGGGACACTGCACTGTCCTGGTGTCCACAGGTGAAGCAGGAGTCGGGGCATCCTGGGCAGCCAGTGGGCGTTTCCCCAGAGTCCGGGGGTGGCTCTCCTACCTCCCTGGGTGCAGGCCCCCAGCAGGTTGACCACATTCAGGTGGGGCCCCAGGTGGCTCATGATCTTCAGCTCTGACATGAGGGCTTGCTTCTCACTGCTGCGGACTGTGGCTGCAGGGAAGGGACTCAGCTGGTCACTGAGGCTTCTTAGAGGCCCCATGGGAGCTACTCAGGCTCCTCTGCCCCACCCGTGCTGCTGCAAGACCACAGGCCCTGTGCAGGGGAGTGTGCCCCACCCTGGCAGGGAAAGAGGGAGGGAGCAGGGGACAGGAGGACCCTCTCCTGGTGTGACCCCAGTGCTTGCCGCAGTCCGGCTGCAGCAAAATAACGGGGGGGAGGGGGGGGGGTGACGAATAACTTATGTACGTTGATACAGCAGGAGTGGAAGCCGTTTACTGTAGGACAGGAGCGGTATTTATACATTCCACACAGCTTATCTAATTAACATAAACTAGATACAGCAGTCAACCAATCAGAAATCTCCACACTTAATGTCTCGCTTTTGTTACTTCTCAAACCACTCCCTCTGGCATTTTGCCAGGCACCATCCAGATTTGTTTACGAACTCTAACATTCCCCTGGCAAAATGCCAGGTGTTATTTTGACTTGTTTACCGACTCTAACAAGTGCTTGTGTCCAGCACATCAAAACCAGTGACTCTGGAAAAGGCTGAATGCTTGGGGAGAGGACAGAAGGAACAGGGGATGTGGGGCCCCGTGTGAGGAAGGAGTAGGCACCCAGGACTCACATTTCAGCATCTTTAAAAAAAATTTTTTTTTATTTATATATGACAGCGGAATGCATTACAAATCTTATTACATATATAGAGCACAATTTTTCATGTCTCTGGTTGTATGCATAGTATATTCACACCAATTCGTGTCTTTATACCTGTACTTTGGATAATAATGATCATCACATTCCACCATCATTAATAACCCCATGCCCCCTCCCTTCCCCTCCAACCCCTCTGCCCTATCTAGAGTTCATCTATTCCTCCCATGCTCCTGTTCCCTACCCTACTATGAATCAGCCTCCTTATATCATAGAAAACATTCAGCATTTGGTTTTTTGGGATTGGCTAACTTCACTTAGCATTATCTTCTCTAATTCCATCAATTTACCTGTAAATGCCATATTTTATTCTCTTTTATTGCTGAGTAATATTCCATTGTGTATATATGTCACATTTTTTTAATCCATTCATCCACTGAAGGGCATCTAGGTTGGTTCCACAGTTTAGCTATTGTGTATTGTGCTGCTTTAAACATTGATGTGGCTGTGTCCCTGTTGCATGCTAGTTTTAAGTCCTTTGGGTATAGGCCAAGGAGAGAGATAGCTGGGTCAAATGGTGGTTTCATTCCCAATTTTCCAAGAAATCTCCATACTGCTTTCCATTTTGGCTGCACCAATTTGCAGTCCCACCAGCAGTGTATGAGTGTGCCTTTTTCCCAGCATCCTCACCAACACTTATTGTTGTTTGTATGCATAATAGCTGCCATTTTGACTGGAGTGAGATGAAATCTTAGAGTGGTTTTGATTTGTATTTCTCTAATTGCTAATGATGATGAACATTTTTTCATGTATTTGTTGATTGATTGTATTTCATCTTCTGAGAAGTGTCTCTTCAGGTCCTTGGCCCATTTATTTTTTGGGTTATTTGTTTTTTTGGTGTTTAGCTTTTTGAGTTCTTTATATACCCTAGAGATTAGTGCTCTATCTGATGTGTGAGGGGTAAAGATTTGCTCCCAAGATATAGATTCTGTATTTGCCTCACTCAGATTGTTTCTTTTGCTGAGAAGAAACTTTTTAGTTTGAGTTCATCCCATTTATTGATTCTTGATTTTAATTCTTTCACCACAGGAGTCTTATTAAGGAAGTTGGGGCCTAATCCCAGATGATGGAGATTAGGGCCTACTTTTTCTTCTATTAGACACAGGGTCTCTGGTTATATTCCTAAATACTTGATCCATTTTGAATTGGGTTTTGTGCATGGTGAGAGATAGAGGTTTAATTTCATTTTGTTGCATATGGATTTCCAGTTTTCTCAGCACCATTTGTTGAAGAGGCTATCTTTTCTCTAATGCATGTTCTTGGCAACTTTGTCTAATATAAGATAATTGTAGTTTTGTGGGTTAGTCTCTGTGTCCTCTATTCTGTACCATTGTTCTACCAGTCTGTTTTGGTGCCAATGCCATGTTGTTTTTGTTACTATTGCTCTGTAGTATAGTTTAAGGTCTGCTTCACTCTTCCTGCTAAGGATTGCTTTAACTATTTGGGGTTTCTTATTTTTACAGATGAATTTCATGATTGCTTTTTTCTATTTCTATGAGGACTGTCATTAGAATTTTGATCAGTATTGCATTGAATCTGAATAGTACTTTTGGAAGTATGGTAATTTTGATAATATTAATTCTGCCTATCCAAAAGCAAGGTAGATCTTTCCATCTTCTAAGGTCTTCTTTGATTTCTCTCTTTAGGGTTCTGTAGTTTTCATTGTATAGATCTTTCACTAAGTTGATTTCCAAGTATTTTATTTTATGTTTTTGAGGCTATTGAAAATGAAGTAGTTTTCCTCATTTCTTTTTCTTTTAATTTATTTTTTGGTTTAAGTGGACACAGTGTCTTTATTTTACATTTATGTGGTGCTGAGGATTGAACCCAGTGCCTCATGCACACTAAGCGAGCTCTCTACCACTGAGCTAAAAACCCAGCCCCTCCTCATTTCCTTTTCTGAGGACTTGTCACTGATATACAGAGATGCCATAAATCAAAGGCATTTCTGTTTATCAGTGACATTTCAGCATCTTGACAGCCACTTTCATGGTGGCCTGGGAATGGCTTAGGTGGTGGAGGCCATGGCCGTGAACCATGAGCCACCTGCCTGAAGGCCACCTCTACCACCTGCCTGAAGGCCACCTCCACCACCTGCCTGAAGGCCCTAGAGCCAAGGTTACATCCTGGGATGAGAGGATCTCTCAGTTCCTAGACCACCAGGAACCTGTACTCCCCTTTCCCACCCACGGGTGGGGAAGAGCCACTCTCTTAGGTCAACCTACACATCCCTCAAATCCCTCTGGACTTAATGTGCTCCCCCCAAAAGGCTCCATACTGATCCCCAATCTTTCCTGGTGTCTCCTCAAAGTCCTGCCTGCTCTCTGCCCCAGCTTGAGTCCCTACGTGCCTTCCTCCTCCCCATGGGAACACAGCTCCCCGCACCCCTTCAGCCTCCCTAACTAGATGAAGCACAGGCTGGCACCAGACCTGTCCTCGTGCTTCCTGCCATGGAGGGTCCTATCTCAAGTCTCAGGCTCACAGGACTCAAAGCTGGGGAGTCCCTGGGGCTCCTCTTGACCTCATTTTGCAGAGGAGGAGACTGAGGGGTGGGGAAGGCAAGATACCAGCCCCAGGTCCCATAGCTTGTCATGGCCAGGCTGAGACCAGACCCAAGAGAGGCTGGCCTCCACTTCAAGTCCCCAAACTGCCAGGTGGGGCTTCCCAGGACTGACCAAGCACAAGCTGGTCCCGTGGCAGTTCCCAGGTGGAATCGTAGGGCAGCTGCATGGGGTCCACATAGATGTACTCATGGCCATCAGAGCTCACAGACTCAATCACCTTCCATCAAATCTCATAGCGTGGCTTCTGCAGGACCAGAACCACAGCATCAGACAGGCTCTCTGCACTTGAACTCACTAGGTTCAGACTCAGAGGGCCAAGGAGGCAGTGGGCCCTGAGGCCCAAGAGGGGCAGGGCCAAACTAAGTGGCACAGCGAGTCAAGGCCTTCATGGCTCAGGGATAGGTACCCAGGGGCTCCAGTGGGAGGAGGGGGTGGCTGAGGAGCCATCGGGCTGTGACAGGCTGAGGAGCAGCTGACAGCCAGGGGCCTGGCTCATCAGAACAACCTCAGCTGCCTCTCTTGGAGCCTCTGTGGCTCCTCAGGTGGGAGTGGAGAAGAAGGCAGCCTGGACATGGTCCCTCCCCACATGAAGTCATCCCTGAGGGAATCGCAGAAGGATGGAACTTTTGAATGTTGAAATTTGGGATGCAGAATTTATAAGATAGGACTCAGAATGAGGGAAGCATGGGGGACAATAATTTTAATTTTTTAATTTTTTTGTGGTGAAATTTCAGGACATAACATTGCACTCATAGACTAGTTAAGAGGATCTGAACGCATCCATGAGAGTCTTCATGGGTGACTGGGACAAGCAGGACCTGGGGTTAGAGCTCAGCAGCACCAAGGGACCCTGTTGCGGCCCAGGCTGCTGGGGGTGGAGGCAGCTCAGAGACCCTGAGCTCCATGCTGGGCCCACCTATGGCCAGATCCTGCAGCAGGGGTGGAGACATGCAAACCCAAGGTACCAACCCCTACCCCCTAGGCCAGAATGGGACTCACCTTCTGCCAGAGCATGATGAGGATGATGAGGGAGATGATTGTGAGAACCACCAAGGCCAGGATGGCTGAGATCACCACCACCTTGAAGGGGAGGGCTGGGGACAGAGACCAGAGCAGGCCATGAGCAAGGAGGGAACTGGGTAGCTGCTCTCCCCTCTCCCACGGCAGCCATCAAAATCCCTTCCTACCCATTGTGCCCAGACAGAAGGCCCCACCTCCTTTATGGCCTATGATGTCAGACCCTCAGCCTCTTGCTCTGGGCCACATCTTCAGCCTCTCTCATGAACCTCCATCCCCTCAGTCACCAACCCCAGTTCTGATGCTTTTGGTCTCTACGTGTCTTCGGCCCAGTCAGGGCCAGTATTGCATTTTTGCCCCAGCTCTAGGCTGGATGCAAACCCTTTTCTGGGTCCCTGTCCATTGCCTGGGTCTCCCATGAGACCAGGAGCCCCTGAAGGCCATGCCCTTGTTGGGCTGTCACAGCAGGTCAGAGCTCTAAGCTCCATGCCTGACCAAGTAGCCGATGGATGCAGTTATTTGCCACTTGACCATCTGCTTGTGACTCTTAGTCTTCCCCGAAGTAGCTGTGTGACCCCAGATAAGTCACTGACTTTCCTTTCATTATCTCTGGGACAGCCGCCATGGCTGGATGAATCCAGACTCAGCAAGGAGCCTGCTCTGTGCCTCTCATCTGGTTCCCCCCAGAGCCCAGCTAGGAGTGGACAGGAATGACAGATAATAGAGCTCATGGGGCCCCATGTCTGTGAGTCTCCTCTAAACCAGAATTCAACCTCTTCCCTCCCCAGCACCTTGGTCAGACCTTGCCCTGCCGTGCCCCACTGAATACCCGAGTCTCCCTTGGGAACTTGGTTCTTCCTCCTTGTCTCCTTCCTGACCTTCTCAGATTTCCCAGGGAGTCCTGTCCTGCCTCATGTCCTCCTCAGGGTCACAGACTCACACCTCTCTTCTGCTGTCTCTCTCCAGCAGTCTCACACATCCAGGGCCTGGGAAAAAAAGCCTGCATCCTCTAGGGAGTCCTCTGAGTAAAGAGGAGCTGCCATACAGCCATCTCAATCCCAGGGTTGAGATGGGTGGCGTCCACCTCTGCCTTCACTCAGAGCTGGTCTGCAGGTCAGGGTGCACTGTCTAAGCAGGTGCCCACTTGCTCAGGGACAAGTGTACATGTGCAGGAGGTTGGATGAGGTAGGGATATTTTTTTAAAACACACCCACACTCACAGGGTAGGGGACAGGAGACAGGTGTGTACAACAGGCACACACACATAACAGGCCACTAAGCCTGCCGAGTATACAAGTGTGCAGAGCGCCTCTCACATCTCTCATGGCCCTTGGAGCCCTGCTTGCTCTGCTTTCTGCCTACTCCCATAACCCATCTCCTTCCCACTGCCTTTTCTCACCCCCTCCCCACCCCAATCCACACACACTCTAGGCTCTCGGCAGCTCCAATTCCTTTACTTTCTTAGAACATGCCCTGCCTCGAGGCTTTCCCAAAGGCCGTTCCTGCTGACTGGAACACTCTGCCTCACCAGAACTTCTTCCAGTCATCTATCAAGTTTGACCTAAAGGACTTTTATGCCAGGACATTTTCTCAGTACCAAACCTGGCCCCTTCTCCCTCGAGGCTTTTGCCCCCAAATGGTGATCCCAAGTAGGATTGCTTATTTCTGCACCCCACCCCTCCTTTGATCTCTAGGCCCTAGGAGGGCAGGCAAGGCTGGTCCATTGGCCTTGAGAAGTGGGGTCCACACAACTTTTTATTGAGTAAAAAAATAGGTGAATGAATGAAGTGCATTCATACACAAGAATGGGCAGCTAGACATGCAATCACATCTGTGCACTGCTAGGATTGTTCATACGTGTAAGATTTGTGCATGTAGGTGTCCCTTCTAAGATATATGCACTGTACAGTAGGCATATGTGTTCAGGTATTGTGCTTGCACATTTTTCCAGAAAGGTATGCTGCAATCACATGCTTACAGACATGCACTACGACACTTGACACATATGCACAGGAATTGCACATGTATTTGTACGCATGTATGGGGGTTTATACACAAGCCTAGGAGTGGGGCAGGCTTATGTCCATGGCTCATAAAATATTCTGTGGGTTTACACACACATATAAACATCATGCTTGTTGAGTCCATGTTTACAGACATATACTCTAGCTTTATTTGTGTATCTTGGATTAGGCATTCTTCAACACAAAGTTTACAAGTCTACACACAGAGAGTTTGCACCTGTGCCCTGGGACGAGGGCTGCTCGAGGTCAGGGCTTCCACCATCCAGCTTACATTCTCTCTGTAGAGGCAGACAGGGCAGCTCAGACCATGGTTTCTACACTTGGGTTTGTACACAGGCACCCATTTCTCCCCCCTGCTGCCCTCCTGCTTCTTCAAGGCCAGCTCCAAAGCCACTGCTCTGGGAGCCCTCGCAGACTCACCTCCCTGTGTCCCCCACCACTTGGGGATTTTCACCCAAATGTGCCAGACTAAGAGGCTCTGCTGCCTGGATGAGCCTGAACATGGCTGCAGGTGTGATGAGGGGGAAGGGACCAGATGTCCATGGAGACCCTGTCCCAGGAGGATGGCTAAGGGACCTGAGCGTGGCCTGAAGCATGGTGCCTCCAGGGCCCACAGGGGCTGCCTCCACCTGCTGCAGCCTGATGGGGACAGGGAGCAGGGCTCCTGGAGGTCCACCCTGTGGCAGCAGGAGGACAGGCAGTGCCATGGAGAGGCGGGTCCTGCCCCTGATGGGGAAACATGTGCCCACAGCTTTCCAGCAACAGGAGGCACGAGGGGGACGTCAGGATCCGTGAGGGGTGCAGGACGTGCCATTGGCTAGATCTGAGCAGTAGGGAGTGGAGACCTCTCAGCCTGGGCCTGAGGCCCTGACCATCTGCTTGTGACTCTTAGTCTTCCCCGAAGTAGCTGTGTGACCCCAGATAAGTCACTGACCTTCCTTTCATTATCTCTGTCATGGAGATACTGTGCCCTTTGCCAAATCCCTGTGACCCAGGCAGATATACGGAAATGAAATTGCACCGTAAACAATAAACGGCTCAGCCTTCCTCAGCAGGACACGGAACCCAGAAGCCAGAAATGAAAAGACCACAGATTGGACTACACACAAAGTAGAACCTTCTGTGGGAATAAAGACACCAGAAGATCTGTAAAACAGAAGTGGCGGGTTGCGGGGAAACCGTTTCACATTATTGACAATAGGGTTCACAGATAAAGCTACCTGAAAAATCAATTTAAAAAATGGACAAAGTATATTTGTAGAATACCAAAAAACAATCAAAATGAAAAAAAAGGGTCATCTTCCCACTAATCCAGGAAGTCTCACACTGAAAACATCAGTGAACTTTCATCTGTTTCCAGCAGACTGGAAAGTGTTGATGCCGCTTTTGGGGCCCTGGGGTGAACCCAGGGCCTCACACGTGCAGGCAGGACAAGGGCCCCACCCCTGGGTTCCACCCCCAGGCCTGGGAAAAATTTCTAAATACCCAAAATATTCAATGCCAACAAGAATGTAGTGATGCTGGGTTTCCCACACACTTTCTGGGGGTGCACGTCCACGCAGGCATTTTCAGGGCACAGTTGAACAGTATCTCCACGGATTTCAGGACCTCCCCTTTGACCTGCCATCTCTCTGCTGAAATGGATCCTGCTCTAATGACTGCCCATGCGCCCAAAGGCTCATGTTCAGCGAGGTTCACAGCAGAGAAAAGTCAGAGGGAACTAAAGTGTCCATGCTTAGAGGAACCGAGAAGCAAATGACAGTCCCTTCATATGGGATACCAGTGCAACCATTTCACAAACAAGGTAGATCTCTGTGTACTGACTTTGAAAGGTTTCTAAGGCGTGTTGTTAAATAATGGAGCTCAAACTCCAATATAACAAATATCTTATGACATTATTTTTTGAAACCGTGAAGGATGGAGTGAGGAATGGATGTGTGTAGACACACGTAAACGTCAGGAGGGGTGTACATATAACTTGTGGTTGCTGCTGGGAATGGGCCATGGTTGGGAGAAGGGTTAGGGGGAGCTTCTAGTTTGGGGGACCTATCCCTCTTTATGGATGGATGTCTCACAGTGAGCACTGGTGTTACAAAAAAATAAAAAATAAAGGAGGCACAAAGGATGGGAAGAAGGGGAGTCCCACCACCCCACCTGTGTCCCATGACTGCTACTGGCCCATTAGGGGAACTACTGGGTGCCCTTGGTGTCCATTTCTTTCCAGAAGCCCTTCTTCCTCTTCCCCGCCTCTGCTTGGCACAACCCAGCTTCCCTGGACATCGTCCTTGCCCCAGCTCACAGGTGGCTTTGGTTCATAGCAGATATACAACCCCACAAACCACAGTGGGTATCCCAGTGAGCATAGATTCCTCCATGTCGGTGACATTCAGCTCTTAGAGGAGGTGGTGGATTAGTAGGACTCACTCATGCATCCACGGAGCAACTAGAGACTGCTCTGTGTGGGGTGGGGACACCTTAGCCACACTGGGCACCTGGGCATGTCTGTCTGAGTGATGTTAGAAACACAAGAAGCCAAAGGGGTGTTGGGGGCAGTGGGGAGAAGAAGGGAAGGAAAACCATACAGTGTCTCTTGAGGCCTACACGCAGAACTGGCCCCTCCTCGTTTTCATCTCATTCTATTGGCCAAAGAATGTCAAACTGCCAAGCCCAGATTCAAGAGGCAGAGATGATTCCATCTTTTATCCTAAGGGGGACACTCAAGTCACATGACCAAGACCTTCAGTGCTAGAAAGAGTGAAAAATTGGGGCATTGGTGCAGTTTTCTTCAAACACCATAAAGAGGGAAAAGATAACCCAGAGAACAGGACAGGTTTGCCACCATGTAAACAAAGTACCCGTTTGATATTTTACTTCTTCCCTTATTTTATGCTACACCATTGTAGAAAACAGCACTTTTTACTGATCCAGTCCATGATTAATGAATATTCAGGTGGATTCTAGTTTGGGGCTACAATGACAAATGCTGCCAGGTGTCTTGATGCATGTGGACACACATTTCTGTTGCATGTGTGCCTGCCAGGAGTGGAACTGGTTGGGATATGCACATTTTCACGTTAGGTAAATAATGCTAAACTCTTTCCCCAAACACTTGTATCAATTAATATCCTCCCCAGCAGTGTATGAGATTTCCTGTTGTTCCACATTCTAGACAAATTTGGTGAAGGAGTTGATCTCTATGTTGTTAGGGAGAAATTAATTGTACTTTAAAAAAATAACATGGTAAACCAATGATCTCAAGTCCTCTTACTGGAAAGACAGATGTGTCTCCACACCGTCTATCATTTATCAAGATCCTGTATACACAGATCTCTTTCAAAGTTCTTAATTTTGGATCAATTGCCTATTTTTCTGTGAACCAATATAAATTATTTTAATCATATCATTTTACAATATTTCTTGATATGTAGTAGAGAAATACTTCCTATTTTTCATTTTGTTCAAAATTGTCCTGGTTATTCTTGGCTCTTTACGTTTTCCCGATTGTTTTATTAAAGTTTCATTTACACACTGTATAATTTACCCTTTTGAGTCTATAGTTCTGCCACTTTTTTTTTTTGGTAGTGGGAATTGAACCAAGGGTTGCTTTATCACTGACCTACATCCCAGGCCTTTTGATATTTTATTTGGGGTCAGGGTCTCGCTAAGTTGCTGAGACTAGACTTGAGTTAGTGATCCTCCTGCCTCAGTCTCCCAAATTTCTGAGATTACAGGTGTGCACCTCTGCACATGGCTATCAGTTCTGCTACTTTTGACAAAAATGTGTAGCTGTGTTATGTTATCACAATCCAGATATAGTTCCCTAACTAAAACAGTTCCCCTGTTGTGCTGGGGCTGCAGCTTAGTGGTAGAGAGCTTGCCTG